ACATCAGCTTCCCTTACGCTGGGTTCCACTCTAGTTTCCTCCATGCTGGGTCCCACACCAGCACCTGCCTCGCTGGGTCCCACATCAGCTCCTGCCTTGCTGGGTCCCACACCAGCTCCTACAATGCTGGGTCCCACACTAGCAACCGAGGTCCTCGCCCCTCCTGAGGTCCTCTCTCCAGAGGCCCTCGCTGCTGCAGAGGCCATAGCTCCAGAGGCCCTCGCTGCTGCAAAGGTCCTCGCTCCTGCTGTGGTCCTCTCTCCAGAGGCCCTCGCTGCTGCAGGGGTCCTCGAATTACCTGCCGCTGTAGTCCTTGCTTCGCCTGCCGCTGTGGTCTCAACGCCGCAGCCAAAGAAGAAGCTGAATCTGCCGCAGGCAAAGAAGCTGAGCCAGCCACACCCTACAGAGGACCTTGTGCATCCTCCAGAGGTCCTCACTCATCCAGCTGCAGCCATCCCAGGGGTCTCATCGCCTCCAGCTGCAGTCATCCCAAGGTTTCTTCACCTACAGTCTTGGCCTTTCCCGTGGTTGCCACGCCTGTGGCCATGGTCTCCTTGCAGGTCTCATCCCTCTTCTGCCTGAGTCCAGGAGGGTACAGGTGGACACCACCACTGACTATAAAGGGATGGTCTCCTGGCCCCCCGCTGGAACCCTGGCCCAAGGGTGGATGGTCTCCTGGCCGCCTGCCAGACCTCTGGCCTGCTAACGGATGGTCGCCAGGTCACCCCCCGGATCTTCTGTCCTGCTGTGGATGGTCTCCTGACCACCCACCTTGACTTGGGGTGGGGGAAGGGGTCTGTGTTTCCCCTTTGTATTCAGTGTCTTCCCAGGTTCCTACCTGTTGGTTTTTTGTTGTTTCTTTTGTACCCTTTGTATTTTTTACCACCCAACTAGATGGTGCTTTCTTTGGGATTTTAGGGGCCATCCCTTGAGGTGTGTGTGTGTGTGTGTGTGTGGGGGGGGGGGGGGTCCTGCAGGGTTTCTGCGGTCGTGTCTTACGTTGTGTTTTCCTCATGTCTGCCTGTCACCCCTCAGCATTTCTCCTCCCTGTGTTCCAGCACTGTCACACTTGAGTCAGATCCTAATCACTGCAAATGTCTGTCATTTTCCCTTTTCAGCATCTGTATATATTTAGCCCCAGGTGTTGTCTTTGTCTCTGGATTGTCCTGTCAAGGCTTCATGCTCTGTACCCCTGTGCGTCCTCCTAAAAGTAAGTTTGCTGCCCCGACAGCTTTTTGTTTTGTTTATTTAGAAATTAAACGTATTACTTATTTTTACCAGAGTCTCCCAGCGTCTTCCTGCATGTGGGTTCAACATTCCGACGCAAATCATGATATCCTGGGACAGAATACTAATTTGTCTAATTTAATTTCTTGCATACTAGATTTTGAAAAACATGATTTGTTGGAACATACAAAAATTCAAATGAATGATTACCATGTTGTCATGATCAGTGATCTCTGCTTGTCCCGTTCTGCTTAAGTCTCTGCCCCTTTATGCCTTTATCACTTCCTCTGTCCCCTACCTCACTCACAGCCCCTCATGTCATGTTTCTGTCCCTCTCTGTCACAATGCAAGGTTTTAGGATTCAGACTCAGTCAGACAACAAGAATGGTAAAACAAAGACATAGTTTTATTGGTTGATTTGCAGCTGCTGGGGAGACTCAAGCCCCCAGTATACTGCCGCGTACGTCCATACGCAGAGGTACGCATGTACATACGCAGAGGTACTAGCGTACCCCCCGGGGCATGTCCGTGCAAAGCTCAATTTTTATGACCGCATATGCGTACGCTGTGTCACACAATAAACTGCCCGGCGACGGACTGTTTTGTATGCAACACCAATGTATTAAATTCCCATTCTTCATCCCTGATCTGGCCTTTTCTTTTGTTTTGTTTTTTTTGCCAAGAGATCTCTTCCTCCTCCGTTGATGCAATGACTGAAATGGTGAGAAATGAAGGAATTTGTCATGAGTGATTTAAACTCAGATCCAGCGTGGCTGCGGGAGGGTCTGGAGATTTCCTGGTGTGCTGGTCTGATGTGTGGGCTGTAGAGCTAGCACTCTCTGTTTTTTTTTGTTTTTTTTAGATCTTTTTATTAACAACATATAAACACAGAACACTGCTGTGGCTGCCAACACTCGTTTTTTTTTCCCGACCTGTCAATTAAACCTAGTTGGCATGTCAGTAAATGACCAATCGGCGACCTCAATTTGTCCCGAAGGTAAACGCCCCTTGTCTGTGAAGCTGTTCCCAAGCTGCTCGGGGTGTATGCTGGAGTACGAAGTCTGAACCCTCTGCGTACAATACACGTGTACGTACGTGTAGATGAACAGATGCTGCGAAATATTCATCAATTAAAACGGATTCTTCATTTTTCTGGACTGAATAAAACGTGCATTGAATTTAATGAAATGTAAACGTGAGACGTCATTTATCTTTGACCCATCAAAATGAATGCGGTCATTTATTTTACAGAATCAAAGTTTAACATCAAACATTTACATTAATTTGGCAAAATATGAAAATAACAACATAATTAACAGCTTTACAGGTAGTGAGAAACAATGCGGCGATTGTTTCCACTCTTCAGCAGAACAGCAGACATCAATGAAAACTGTACAATTATGATCAATTATCCACACGGCGGTGGATGAGCACTTTACACAGACATTTCTAAAATATCTGGAATGATTTCTACTTGAGAGAAGAATTTAAAGATGGAAATGAAGTTTAAAGGGAGTAAAGTATGGATGAGGGAGAATGTGGTGTGTATGAGTGAAAAGTGTTGACAGGACGACACCCTCCATCCGACCCAGCTTTTCCTCGGTACGCTAAGTAGGAGACTAGACTCATTTACCTCTCTGAACATGAATCAGAAGAAACGAAGTCCAGTTACGCTACCTGTCCAGCGTCTCCATAGGATGGCTGTGACTCGTCCGAAGTGGTGACGGGGCTTCGTCAACACAAGCTCACATCAGCAAGTGGACTTCACATGAGTGGAGTCCTTCAGAAGTTCCACTCAGAGGTGGAGGATGTTATAATCCAAACTCGGGAGAGCCTTATCATGACTGGACTTCTGTTCTCCCAAACGACTTCACAGAACTGCCAACATCTCAGAACTTCTCCGCGCTCCACCGAACTGCTCAGACTGGAGAACCAGGAAGTACCGGCAATTTAAAGAGCTCTATTTCCGGTATATTTGAGCGTTCCTGATTGGGTAATATCAACCAGACAGGGGTGTGTTTTGTGATGTAAGAGGTTACTAGAAGTCAGAAAACAGCAAGAATTGTTATGGAACAGATTAAACTGTTCTCAGAGACAGAGAGAGTTTTGTTTTGGCGAGTTTTAGAAACAGGTGCCAACTCCTCCGTTGACATCTGAGAGGATTTTAAAACAAGACACATGTCTGCTTCGACTCAGACCTTGGAAAACGCACACTTGCTCATTCAAAGACAGAAATCAGAAAATGCATAAAAATCTGTAACAGACCTTAACATGAATTCTAACTCTGCATAAGCAACTAAAAAATCATTGTTACTGTTTTACAGTTAATAAAATTGATTAGTTCACTGTAACATCTAAAATGGTTTGAACTAAGACACTTTGATTATCAACATTTGTAAAATAGTAATGATAATAAAAAAGAGAGTGTTCTTTCACTTGATTTTCAAGAAAGAAAGTCTCAGGATGGGTGAACCGGTATTTCTGGATTCAAATCAATGAAATGACAGTTTCTGTCCCACAAGGTTCTTAAGGTCAAGGGTTTTGACCTTAGGCTTAGTTTTGACATCAGGTTAAGTTCACTACATACGCGTGAACGGACGTACGCTGCAGTATACTGGGGGCTTCAGGATCCAATTGTAGTAACAAGTCTTTGCAGGCAGGTGGGGTGACAGCCACCTGTCAGATTTTAAAAAGATGAACTGGTGGGAAGGCAGCTGCAGAGGGAGGCCTTTAATGCTGTGTACAGTGGGGTAATGCAGGTTTGAGGTCCAAAGGGCAAAGCAGGGGTCAAACACAGGGAGTCAATGGTACAAGAGTAATCCAAAAGGGTGATCCGTGAGTCATGGTCATAGACAGAAGAGGAGGACGTTACCGTGATCAAAGAGGCAGAGCAGAACCAGATAAGGAGCAGGCAAAAGCGGGAAATCCAGAAGAAAAGGTGTGAGGTCAAAAAATCCAATAACAAGACTTGAGGATCAGGCATGAAACAAGAAAAATATGATGGCTGGAAAATCAGGGACCGTGTGTGGTGTAATAATCTGGAACTGGACAAGTGAAAGTTAAGCTCTTAAATAAGGCCAAAAACAGGTGCAGTGAATCAGGGCTGATGAGCTGAAAGTGCAGACAGGGGCGTGGCTTAATGACAGAAGAAAACATGACATGAATTTGCAGGGAAAAACAGCATATGACAAAGAAGTGCAGAAACATGACATGAAGGGCTGTGAGTGAGGTAGGGGACAAAGGAAGTGATAAAGGTATAAAGGGCAGAGACTTAAGCAGAATGGGGTAAGCAGAAATCACTGATCTTGACACATGTACTGAAAAATCTGTCAGTATTGTTGCATTTGTTATTTTGTCATTTTAAAAAGCAGACAAATTTATCTCACATGTGATATTAAAAATCTATTTTTCTAAATCTCCAACTTAAAACAAAGCTAATGTAACGTTTGGCAGCCTGTTAAGGTGCTTTATTTTGGGGTCAGAATGTGAATAAAGACATAAAAATTTGATCAGTCTCACTTTAGAACCGTACTCGTAAATACATTAAAAAAAATTCTAAATCCAAAACAATTTTATCAGAAGTATATGCTAATTTCAGAAAAAGTTTAAAGCATTATGACTTGGACATGTCACCAGTAAACTTTTTTTGGGGACTTGTCGCTCAGTAGTTAACATGGTCAAAGGAACAAAACGTAAACTGAAAGACAATAATTCAACTGAATGCCATATTTCCATTGACATCTTTTGTCATTTTTATTACTTAGTGAACTTACCTTCACTGCACAATAATCAAAGAAGCCAGTTTCTGAAAAAATGGCCACCAGCACCATCTGCAAGAAAGATAACAGATTTGCTTTAAACAATCATGTTCATCTTTATATTTAAACAACCAACATGCTGATGTCCCCGTCACTGAAGGACTTGAATATTGAATTTTGTTTTCAAGATGAGTTTTAAAAGTTTTTCTGGACTGTAATCGAACAGGGAATGAAAGTAAACCTTAATGTTTTTGGTGCAAGATAATCAAGTGGGTAGGAGTTACACAGTGTACACAAACAGAGGTACATCCATCCATCCATCCATTTTCTTTACCCGCTTGTTCCATTTTGGGTCACGGGGGTCGCCGGTGCCCATGTCCAGCAATCACTGTGCGAGGGGCGGAGTACACCTTGGACGGGTCGCAAGTCCATCACAGGGCCACATAGAGACAAACGAGACAAACAACCATTCACTTTCTCACTCACACCTAGGGACAATTTAGAGTTACCAATCAGCCTAATATGCATGTTTTTGGTCTGTGGTAGGAAACCGGAGCACCCGGAGAAAACCCACGCATGCATGGAGAGAACATACAAACTCCAAAGGCCCCTGGATCGGGTTTTGAACCAGGGACCTGCTCGCTGAGAGGCAGCAGCTCTACCAGTAGAACTTTACAGTATAATACATGATTTTGTGAATGTAGTTATCGGACGTAAAAGTTTATATACATAATATCCTGATGCATGCTCAATAATCCAGGTAGAAAAATCCAAAAAAGTTCAATCTGGTCCTCTGGACATTCAAAAAAACAAAAAACAAAACAAAGCAAAAAAATCTAGAAACGTTTCGTCTCTCATCCAAGAGACTTCCTCAGTCTGAGGTGCTGTTTTCAGCTCAGTCTCTTAAATAGCACCTTCACAGAGTGGATCAACCAGTTTGCTGCTGACAACCAAAACCAGCTGATCACATGCTCAAGAAGGACCATCAGCCTAACAATGGATCATTAGCACACTGATGGCTGTTTACTACTCACAGAGGGCTGAGTGATACTAGCAATCACAGCATTGTAAGAGGGGGACAGTTGAACCCGGAGGCCTCCACCCCTGTTTAATGATGGACGATTTCTTTTCACAAAGATGGCCTCCTTTACTCCTCTCTCAAACCATCGTTCCTCTCTGTCCAGGATGTGAACATCTTCATCCTTGAAAGAGTGACCGCTGGCCTGGAGATGAGTGTAGACCGCAGAATCCTGGCCTGATGATGTTGATCTTCTGTGCTGGGCCATCCTTTTGGCCAGTGGCTGTTTAGTTTCCCCGATGTAAGACTGATCACAGCCCTCCTGACACTGAACAGCATACACAACATTACTCTGTGCCGGGGGACTGGATCTTTGGGATGAACCAGTTTTTGCCGTAATGTATTTTGGGGTTTAAAAGCCACTGGGACGTTATGTTTAGAAAATAAACGTCTCAGTTTCTCTGATACCCCCTCAACATACGGAATGACCACTGGTCTGGGTCTGTGTTCCTCCTTTTCACCTGATGGCTGACTGGAGTCCTGTTTGGGTTTCTTCTCTGCTTTCAGGAAGGCCCAGTTAGGATATCCACATTGCTCTAGAGCCTGTTTTGTGTAGGATTTCTCCTTCTGCCTGGCTCCCGAGCTAGTGGGGATGCTGTCTGCTCTGTGATACAGAGTCCTGATGACTCCTAACTTGTGCTCCAAAGGGTGGTGGGAGTCAAACTGCAAATACTGGTCTGTGTGGGTGGGTTTGCGGTACACCTCGGTTTGCAAATGTCCTCTATCAGAGACTGAGACCTCACAGTCCAAGAAAGCCAACTTGCCATTTTTTACATCTTCTCGTGTGAATTTGATGTATTTATCCACAGAGTTGATGTGGTCAGTAAAATGTTGGACTTCCTGAGATTTAATTTTAACCCAGGTGTCGTCAACATACCTGAACCAATGACTTGGTGGTGTCCCTGAAAAGGACGTCAAGGCTCTCGTTTCTACCTCCTCCATGTACAGGTTGGCAACAATAGGAGAAACTGGAGACACCATAGCACACCCATGTTTCTGCCTATAATATTGTTCCCCATATGTGAAGTAGGTTGATTGCAGGCACAGTTTCAAGAGTTGACACAGTTGTTCTGTGGAAAGCGTGGTCCTGCTGCTCAGAGTGGTGTCTGATTTTAATCTTAACCTGACCACCTCTACTGCATCATCAACAGGAATGCACGTAAAGAGTGATGTGACATCAAAAGAGACCATTGTTTCATCAGTCTCTATGATGACATCCCTCACCTTGTCCACAAAGTCCATGGTGTTCTGTATGTGGTGTTCTGAGCTGCCAACTAAAGGGATGAGTACAGACTCCAGATATTTGGAAACATTGTAAGTGACAGAGTTAATCATGCTAACAATAGGTCTTAAAGGTACACCTTGTTTGTGGATTTTAGGTAAACCATACAGACTAGGTGTGGCCTCCCCTGGGTACAGTCTGTGGTACAGAATACGGTCAATAGCCTTGTCCTGCTCCAAATTTTTCAGGCAATCTATTAACTTTTTCTTGTAACCACTTCCTGGATCTCTTTTCAGATGTTCATAAGTGGTTAAGTCACTAAGGAGTGTCATAACTTTCTCATGATAGTCTTTCTGGTTCAAAATCACTGTGCACCTTCCTTTGTCTGCTGGGAGAATGATGATGTTTTTGTCCTTGCTAAGAGTGGTGAGTGCGTCCCTCTCCTCTCTACTGATGTTGGAAGGTGGTGGTTTGGCATTGCTGAGGCAGGATGAAACTTTGATTCTGAGCTGTTCTACTTCACCCTCTTTCATTTTGTTGTTGCAAATGGCTGATTCTGTTGCTGTGATCATCTCCACCAGAGGAATTGTCCTTGGTGCAACCGCAAAGTTCAGTCCCCTGGCAAGAAACTCTGTCTCAGGCTGGGTGAGCTGTCTGTCAGATAAATTCTTCACCCACTTTTCTGTCTCCCTGTCATGTAATTGACTACTGGAGTGTTGTCCTACACTGAATGTGTTGTAGTGAACTTGACCTGATGTCAAAACTAAGCCTAAGGTCAAAACCCTTGACCTTAAGAACCTTGTGGGACAGAAACTGCCATTTCATTGATTTGAATCCAGAAATACAGGTTCACCCATCCTGAGACTTTCTTTCTTGAAAATCAAGTGAAAGAACACTCTCTTTTTTATTATCATTACTATTTTACAAATGTTGATAATCAAAGTGTCTTAGTTCAAACCATTTTAGATGTTGCAGTGAACTAATCAATTTTATTAACTGTGAAACAGTGTAATGATTTTTTAATCCTCATGCAAAGTTAGAATTCATGTTAAGGCCTGTTACAGAGTAATCATGTATTTTCTGATTTGCTGTCTTTGAATGAGCAAGTGTAAGTTTTGTCCAAGGTCGGAGTCGAAGCAGACATGTGTTGGAACAACTGTCTTGTTTTAAAATCCTCTCAGACGTAAACAGAGGAGTTGGCACCTGTTTCTCCAAACTCACCAAAACATTTCTCTCGCCTGTCTGGGAACATTTTCAATCTGTTCCAATAACACTCTTGCTGTTTTCTGACTTCTAGTAACCTCTTACATCACAAAACACACCCCTGTCTGGTTGATATTGACCAATCAGGAACGCTCAAATATACCGGAAATAGAGCCATTTAAATGCCGGTACTTCCTAGTTCTCTCAGTTCTGAGATGTTCGCAGTTCTGTGAAGTCGTTTGGGAGAACAGAAGTCCAGCCATGATAAGGCTCTTCCGAGTTTGGATTATAACATCTTCCACCTCTGAGTGGAACTTCTGAAGGACT